CACTTCTTCCTGCATTCCCTAGGCCTCACATCCCTATGCTGACTCTCAGGATCCGGCTTTGATGCATCTACCTGTTCAGATTCCGTTCTCTGGTGTTAGCCTTTATTTCTCACTGAACTTTTGATTCAATCCATTTTACATCCTTTAAAGTAATAGGACATAATCTTTTTCTCTTTTTTAAATTTAAATTAGAAACAAGCTTGGGTCTCTTAGGGTCTTTCTTGTTTCCTGGCTTCTCTGGTGGTGTGGATTGTAGGCTGGTACTCCTTTGCTCCATGTCTAATATCCATATATGATCAAGTACATACCATGTTGGTCTTTTTGTGACTGGGTTACCTCACTCAGGATGGTTTCTTCTAGTTCTGAACATTTTCTTGTACATTTCAAGATTCCATTGTTTTTTTCTGCTGAGTAGTACTCCATTGTGTAAATGTACCACATTTTTTTTTATCCATCTTCAATTGAGGGGCATCTAAGTTGCTTCCATGTTCTGGCTATTACAAATAATGCTGTTATGAACAGGACATAATCTTTTTACTTATGTAAAATTAGGTAGGTACTTCACACCTTAAAGAAAATAGAATTTGGATACAAAGGAGAATCTATTACTTGAATATGTACCTAAAAGTTGACATGTTGGAAACTTAGTCCCCAATGAGAAATTGTTGAGGACTGAACCTAATAAGAGACTGATTATGTGGCATAGACCTGCCATCAGAATGGATTATTGTCATGTTCAGAGAGTGAAATAATAAGATAACAGAAGTATTATAAGCATGAATTTATTCCTTTCTCTCATATGCTCTCTCACCTCATGATATCATTCACTATGCTAGGATTCGGTTCAAAGAGCCTTGCCACACGTAAACACCGATGGTTTCGGTCATCAACACTGGATCCGTAGGAAAAATGTCTGTTGTTTACAGATTATCTACTGTGTGGTATTCCGTTGTGTCTGTAGAAACCAAGCTAGGTCAGAGGCCAACTTCACAACCTAGAGATGAAACATTTAACAGCTGTTTGGGCTTCCCAGTCCAAAGCAAGAATACTTTTCATTCTTTTATAAAAGTTGTTAATTACCTCCAGGTAATGAAGCCTGACGCTAGAGGTCAAGATGGGACAGAGGGAGGAAAGACATGTAAATATAACTCAGACGTTTAAGTATTTCCCTGTGCTCTGTAAAGCATATGAGAGTTTCATGCTCCCACCAAGTGTGCCCTCACTGGAGTGGGATTCTTGTCCAGTTGGATCATGAGTCTTGTTCAACACCGTAATTATAGACATGAGACTTGGGCTGAAAGGCACAATTCTGGGTTTCCCATTTAGAATGAGTCACATTAGAAGTATTTTTATTAACATCCCTGAAAACCACAGCATACCTTCAGATGTTATTAATTGCAAATGTATATAAGCTTTTAAGAATTCCCTACCACGGTTTCTAACATACTGGAGACTAAAAATAGTGGGCTAATAGGTTAAATTGCTGCAAAGAGTTTGCTTCCAAGATTTGAAAGATTTATATAAGTTTCACTTGAAGTCCAGGAATTAATATTGAGCAATTAAAAGACTGACATGGATTGACTGAAAAACATGACACCTATTTAAATGTGTTTTACACAATCCTCTAGACTCATTCATTTCATTCCCATTTCCCAAGAGAACATGTGCATGTCACAGTGACATGACTATTGTAACAAACTCTATTAGCATCTACTGTTTGTAGAAAGGGGAGACAGAACAGGTCCCCAGGGTTTGACTTCACATGTGTGTAACATTTTCCTGTGCATGGGGGTAGTTGGCTGTACTTTACCTTGTTCCAGAAGAAATTAAAACAACTTTAAAAGTCACATAAATTAAGACTCTGAATAAAATAAACAAGAAATGAGGGTGTGGGTGAAAAATAGAGGCAGGAATGATGGTTAAAAAATGCACATCATAGACCTATACACTCACCGAGGGCTGAAGAGGGGGGTAAATTTGGCATTCATTTTCTAGGAATCTGAAACACAGTTGCTAAAATAACCAGTTAGAACACTTTTAGAAGGAAAAGCAGTCAGATTTTCTGTAGTGTTACAATAAAGAGAACATTTATGGTATAATAGGAACATCTAGCAACACAGTGCACACTGTGAGGGTCACAGCTAATTCTTACAGTGGACTTCAATGTAGGCCTTATAATGAAGTACTTGATAATGATTTATTCAGAGCCTAGATCCCCAGTCTCTCAGAGCAACACAAATAAGTATAGGTGACACCCGCAAATGACGTGGGTAATATTACAGAACAGGAATATTAAGATGGGAGACGACCATGGGAATCTTTTATGATGGGAGAAGACCATGTGTTCTGTTTGCTCTAAGCAGAGGTCACATTTATAACAGAGTTACATTTATAATAACATAGTTCCATCTTCCAAAGCTATTGCAGAGAGCTTTTTTGAGGATGTAGCCTAAAACAATGGGAATTGGTGCCTTTGCTCATACAATCTTACACTGTTTATTTTCACATCGTTGATGTTGGTTAAGATTTGACTGATCTATATTCACAGTATTTTAAAATAAGAATATTTGTGTTTTTTCCTTTGGAAAAAAAAGAAAGGGGTGACCTATATTTTCATAAAAATGATAGTAATTATGAAGTTTTGTATGCTTTTTTCAAGTTCTTCCTAAAGGTCCTTTGGGTATAATTTTTTTTCTAATATTAGTGACACTGACTTTAGTAGTCTATTGTTCTACAAGTGCTTGGAATTTGGCATTTCTAGTTTCAAGTAAGATACCATGTCTTAAAAAGCCATCCAAAGAGTGTAGATGAGGAAACCTAATGGAGTCACATAAATAATTCCAAAGTCATCTCCACTGTGCCCAAGGTGAGGCTCAGTTTTTCCTTATTGAATAGCCTAAAACCTTCCTAGATTATGTGACCAAAGTCGCAAGGCTTACTCATGTGAGAAAGGATGTGTTCATACTGTTTGTGTTGGGACTTTGAAGACAGAAAATTTTCTAGTCCCTGGAAGCTGACATGTCCTGTGTGTGAGGTCTCTTTCTGCAAGCTACACCCTCTCCCTGGCCTGAGCTCTCATACTGTCAGTGTGTCTGTTGAATGCTTATTTGTTCTACTGGCTAGAGTAGTGCAATCTTCTTTTCCTGACAAACCATTTGAAGCTGGCCTCCATTTAATCGGTGTTCATTTGGTTCCAAACTTCAAACAGTGACTTCTAATGTGGCCTGGGCTTCATCTGCTGGCCAAATTGTGATTGATCCCTGAATTCCATTGCTTATGTCCCACACCAGCCTCACACTGTTTTGAAGAATGAGCCTTCTTTACAATATCTCTGATAGGTTTGTTTCCTTAGGAATCTGTTGTTTCCTGCAACACTGGCCTCACTGACATAGCCTGGTGGTTATGGGCTGTGGACCACAGAGACCACAGGGACAGCTGGGTGAGTGTGACTCTCAGGTTTGAGGGAACTGCCTGTTCAAGCAGAAAATCAGAGATGAGAAACATCTTAAATACCCCAGCCCCTTCCAAAGCTGGTGCCAGAACATTCCTATGGTGAGGACTCAGGCTGCCAGCAACAAATGACCTCAACCTGTGCCTCCTCTCACTTTGTTTGGAAGATGGCACTGCCTCTAGGTGTCCTTTGTTCTTTCGGAAAGGCAACCCCATCAAACTTCATTTGACGGATGCCGTTCTACTTCTCTCTGACTGATTTTGGTTTAGTTACTGCCGCTCCTGAGATAAGCTGTTTTCAAGATTGGTATGAATATGCGCTCAAAGCACTGAGTGTACCTGGCTGTTGCTGCAGTATGCTTGTGTTCAGGGCCATGCAATGTAGCAGAACAAGACACACACACAGCCCTTGCGATTCTTCTCTATTAAGAAATTGCTATTGTTGTCATTCCTAATAGTTTTCAGCAGCTGCTGTTGTATACGCTTTCTGTGTGCCAGACACTACAGTAAATACAAAGTGTTACAAGCAAGTTTATAAAACTGGTACTGCATGCATGTCCATGAGTGTGTGTGTGTGTGCACTTGTGCATGGATATGTTTGTGCACCTGTGTGTCCAAGTGCCTCTGGAGGTCAGAGACTGACCACATAGCAAAGAGGTTTGTTCAAAGCAATTAAGGGGGCCTTCCAAAGTCTGTGTGAGTTACACTTCAGTAGACTCTGTTTGGCTAGGACACCTCTTCTTTCTGTACCTCAGCTTTTCTTACTGTGAAAATGGAGACTGATATCAATATCAATTAAGGGGGCCTTCCAAAGTTTGTATGAGTTACACTTCAGTAGACTCTGTTTGGCTAGGACACCTCTTCTTTCTGTACCTCAGCTTTTCTTACTGTGAAAATGGAGACTGATATCAATATCACTCCTGCATAGCCACCATGCCAAAGGTTGTTGCTGAGGCTAGCCCACTGTGGGGCTAGGTAATGTGTTGCCTGTTTGTCAATAATTGCACACCTATAGAATATGTGCATATACACACGTGTGTGCATTTGTATGTATGTATAAATGTACACATAGGGTAAAACTGCATAGCTTAGGACCCTCTTTTGAAGATTCTCATAGCATTAGACCTGCAGAATAGTTCAAAGTATATTTTCATGAATTTACTCCCACGTAAAAGGGAAGCATTGGATTGGTTTCCTGGTTAATCACAAGCAATTTTCTTCTTAATGAAATTTCATTTTATATATTAATGCTTTGATGGATTTAAGTATGCCTTCTTTTTCTTCAAACTAGTTCAACAAATGTTTTAAAGTTGCCTGGGCAGTAGTTATTTCCTGAACAGCTTGGTCATAATTGGTCATAATTTGAATTCTTGTATCAGAGGGAACAGAGAAGAGGCAGACAGTTACAATGTTTCAGAGGGAGATGTGATGATATGTTTTTGCTGTTGTGCCTATTTTTTTTTTGAGTGTGTGGGAAAGGGTGTGATGTCATCCTGTCTCCACCCCCTGTGAGTAAGCCCACAGCAGAGCTCAGTGCAGCCGCCCTCCTCTATCAGTGGAGGACTTCCACTTAAATGCAGTTCCAGGCTTGCAAGGCACCCAGGAGCATCACTCCTCGTGTGAGCAGGCAAATGCAACATGCTCTCCAGCCTGGGGTGTCTGCTTCTCTGTGGAAGTATTGCACTTGCCCTGGGAAATGCACAGAAATTGCCAAAAGGCAAGTAGCTCGAATCTTTTGTGTTTTAAAAGTAAGATTAAGAGTTGCTTGTTTTTAACTGTTGATATGAAATATGATCTGCTTTACAATCTGGGGGAATTGAATGATTCTGGGGGAAAGCCAGGGGCCATATGTGTGAAGGGGTGCCGGCTGGAAGCGTTGTTTTCTCTTGGACCCCTGTTACTAACTTGGTGATGGCAGCTCCTCCTAACAGTTTCTAATGGAGTGTGATCACACGAACTGAAGTGGTGTAGTTTCAAACTGCAGCGTTTGTACATCAAATTGGATTATATAAACGGCTGTTGTAATTTGTTGGAGTTACTTGGTGCTTTCAGCTCTGTCCACAGAGACAATGGGTAGCAGCTTAAGCTTTGGGAGCAGTTTGGTTTGAAAGCTGGGATCTTTTGCATAAATCTCAAGCATACCTGTGGTGTAGGGTCTGAGGGAGCATAGCCAGGTCAGACCCGAATACAGTCCTGAGCTAAGTGGCCCTTGAGGGCACTCCTGTGGAGTTTGGAAGAGGGTTTGATTTGCTGGACAGGACACCCCCCCTTATCCCGCCTAAATTGGTTATTTTAATGTTGGTATTTTGTTTACAAAAGTCATCAAAAGAGAAGTAAATTTTCTAAATTTAGATCCTTAGAAGCAATCCTTGGAACCAAATCACACTACATCAGGAGTCTCTCGCCTCGTCCCGTCTGTGAAAATAAATGTTGAGTGCACGTTTGCTTCTTCACAGAGACACTCCAGGTCTGTGGAGACTTTTTATGGCTGCAGGCTGCTGTAGTCAGCAAGATTATGAAACACAGGCTGGAATTTACCGTACTGTTATGAGGGAAAGTATTAGAGGTGACATACGGGCACAACCGAGTCCAAAAGACAAGCTGAGGGTCAGAGCGTCGGAAGGACATGTCTGTCCTCTCTGGAGTTCAGCCTAGGATCATCTTTGTCTCAAAGGTTAAGTGTCCTTTCTTTTGGTCCGTAAAGTGGAACTTGAATCCAGAATGTGAAGGCTGAAGCATTTGGCTAGTTAGTGTCTCACAAGAGGCTGGGAACCGCAGTAAATGGCAGAGGAGACCTTTATTCTGATCAAATGTTTATGCAGGGAAAGAGAAATCCAGCACCACTAGGTTTTTCTTCTACCATGAGTTTTGTTCCTTGATCATTATAAGCTGTGACTTTATCCATAATTTATTGTTTGCATTGATGTAACTTTTAATACTATTGCCATTTGAGAGGAGCCTGTGGGTTTTGCTTTTTGTTTATTTTATTTTATTTTTTTGGTTTTTAAAATTTACAGGTTTTTTGTTTTGTTTGTTTGGTTTTTTAAAACTGTATTTACTATATAGGGATGATAAACAAATTTGGTCACTACAGACTTATGTTACTTCCAAGTGCCTTAGTTTTCCTGTCACGGCACTAGATAGAGACTTCTTGGTAAAAGTGGCCTTTGTTTGTAATGATAAAGAAAAATATATATTTGTCAATAATTAGTACAGAACTTTTGTCAAGTTTATTGCTCATCAATGTGTTTGCATTCAGGTTTCTTTTGTAATGTTTTAACAATCTGTAGTTTTGGTTAACATCAACAAAACATCCAATTATAATTCTAAATAAATGGTAAATCCAGTTGTTTTTATTTTCTTAAAAGGTTTTGAGGGAATGTCTTTAAGTCGGTCAGTCACCTTTGTTAACACGTTTCAGATTTCAGGGTGTCCTATGATGGTTGAGGGGTGGGAGGCAGGTGCTTCCCTTGAATAACTTCCGGAGCTTCTCATTCTTGCTCATTTTGGGGAGGGGTCCCCACAATTGATGTTACCATCCTAGATGATCTAAAATTTCCTCAAGAAAATAAAAACTTTCATCCTTTAATCCATTGTTTCCCAAACCCATTTAAATGATAGTCCCCTTTCAGTCAAACAGCTATGGTATCTTTCCAGAGGCGGTCTGTGACAGCCACGTGTGAAAAGGTGCTATGATAGGTTATTGCTTACTGCTTTAGAGTTTAATGTCACCTGTGACTTAAGAAGAACATGGAAGTTAAGAGATAGACACTCATGACCACCAACCATAGTCCACTCCAGATTTTTGCTTTTACAGGCCAGTAAAAATGTGTGCAGGTTTTACTAGTAGGGTTATAGTAATAGGGGTCATATTCAACTTTGCTTTGGGAGGATGCTCAAAGCAGGGGGAAACCCTTGCTGTTCAGCAAAGCAAGCCATTTTCACATTAAAAAATGACTTGATAAATTAGTTGGTTTGTTGTCCATGTTTTTCTCATTTTATTGAAGACTGATTAAAAACTTTATCATAGTACAATATATGGAAAATACTGGCCTGTCTTAACTATTTATATAAATAAAGACACCCGCAACAGGGGAGATTTAGTAACTTTTCCAAACATTCATCTTGCTTCCAGAGTACATGGGAATGCTACCTGTCCCTTGAATCATACTCTTTCTCATAAGATAGAAGAATGAAGACATACATGTTTGTTTGGTTATTTATAACAACTCACTTGTTATATGTCATATGACTGTTTACATATCTATTCTAAAAATAAGCTGTTAGAAATTTTTTGTTTTTAAAGGTTTAAGCTTAAAGAATATTAACAATGTGTCTTTCCTTGTCTTCATTAAATTAAAGACTAGACGCTTTGGCAATTTATTTGGATCTCGTATCCAAACTGTAAGAATCAAATGCACGTTCTTGATGCAGAGATGATATGATCGCCAAGTACTGTTCCATATGATACAATCAGGGGATGGCACCTGCTGCCTTGTGTCCTGATCATCCTCGGTCCACAGGACAGACTCAAAATAGGAATGTAGTAGCGTGACTATGGGATGTGGAGTTGTGAGCGCATGGCAGAGTAGCGAGCAATGGGCTCCTTGCCTCGAGTTCTTACTCAAAAGAGTAGAAATTCTTAACAAGATAGATGTGCACAGATGGCTGGAACGGAGACTCAGCAGTTGAGAATATGTCCCGCTTTTGCAGAGGACCTGAGTTCAGTTCCCGGCATTCATGGGGAGCGGTTCACAACTGCTATATAAAAGCCTATAGCCCCAGCTCTAGAGGATCCACAGCCTTCTTTTGGCCCCCATGGGTACCAACACACATACTCATATCCGTGAATAGATTCTCTGTCTCTCCTAATTAAAAATAAAATCATCTTCTTGAAAATGTGGACGGATGAATCACAATAACCATGAGAAGTATTAGCTGTTACCTATTATTCTCTTTTTAAAGTCAGTAATGTGGTAATTCAGAGTTACATATTTTTGGTGCAGGAAATCTAAACCCTTGTATGAAGTGGGTATGTTATTACTCTCATCTTATAGAGTGATCAGATTATTCCTCCAGGTGTTTAAGTAATTTGCTCCAAGTCATTTATCCAGAGATGTAGAAGTCCACAGCCTTAACTTCAGCATTGTATCAACTCCCTGATCCCTATAAAGATACACTAATTTGTTCTAGTAAAAAGCTATGTGTCATGCGCAGAGCATGGAGACTGGGGAGATAAAGCATGCACTTGTCTTCAGGTAGCTGGCTGGTCAGTGGGGTTGATTGGACAGAAGAGGTAATTCCAGTGCAGTGAGATGGTCCTCCTTTTGCACGAGGCCCCTGAGCTTTGAAGATAGCAGGAAGGGGTCATTCAGACCAGAGGACTCAAGCATTCTGAGAGAGACCAAGGATGGAGCTGAGAGACAAGAGCATTTGGGGGCAAGATTTTGGCTGAGAGGTGAGGGTACCTTCGTTCATAGTCTCTTGTGACTTGCCAGCCTTGGAGCTGGCTCTTCCTTTCCACACAGCCCTTCTGAATAAATGAACGTCTCACTCAAAAAGCTTGATCCGTCTCTCCAAAGGGCAGGTGACATTTGTGAGGAAATAAGAAAACGAGAGAGTTAACACTCACTGAATAGAGGTCTGGTTTTGTTTTATTTTTATTTTTTGTTTTTCCAGATAGAAGTCTCTCTGTGTAGCTCTAGTGGTCCTAGAACTCACTATGTAGACCAGGCTGGTCTACTGCAGAGATCCGCCTGCCTCTGCTTCCAGAGTGCTGGGATTAAAGGTGTGCGCCACCACTGGCTAAGGGCTGATTTAATTAGAATAATGTATTTGTGTATTTCTGGGACAGTATTAAAGAGTACATAGGAAGAAATGATTCAACTGAAAAAGGTTGTAAAATTACAGGAAATTTATTTTAGTGGTTTTCTATAGTTCTAGTTCTAATTTCTTGATGGGTTTGTTTATTCAAGTACTAATTAGTGAACATCGAAGTAATGAGTGAGACAAACTGTTTGTACAGTAGGAAGTAGCAGATAAATGTAGTTCAGTTGAGGCTAAGTACCACTGTTTTAAATTAAAATTTGATGATGTGGGGTACACATTCATTAGTTACACATTCAATAGACTGCTCTATGGGGCTATGAGATACAAAATATTAAGGAATTTTAGCTCTCTGTTTTTCTTCAAGTTAATGGGTCACAAGGGTATGTTTGATAATACAGTTCACCAATACCATAGCAAAAAAGACTAAATATTTCTATAGGTTAGTGCCTGGCAAAAGGCAGTCTAAGCCAGTGTTTCCCAACTTTCCTAATGCTGTAACTCTTTAATACAGATTCTTATGCTGTGGTGATCCCCCCTCCCTCAGCCATAAAATTATTTTCATTGTTACTTCATAATTGCAGTTTTGCTACTACTATGAGTCATAATTAAATATCTGATATGAAGGGTACCTGATACTCCACCCCTGTGATCCACAAGCTGAGAAACCACTGCTCCAAGACAAAGGCGGGGTGTCTAGTGAAGGGAGAGCCACTGAGGCCACATGACCTACCCGGTGGTTCTGTGTGTGTCACCAGACTCAAAAAGAATTCTTTTTGTTAGCTCTCTGATTGGCAGTAATAAAGGTAGGTGCAAAAGAAAGAGGTGAACTTGTTAAGAGTGACCTGAAAATGCATGTAAAATTAAAAGTAAGATAACCCAAGAGATTAC